CCGCTCAGCCCGGCCCCGTGGTACCGCCGGGGCCACTGCGGCTGCTCCTCGCTGGCACATTCCGCCCGTCCTGGGGAGCTCGACAGACCTGTTACATGGATTATGTCCGTTTGCGTTTCCTTCGCGCTGTTTCCTGCTCTGTTTTGTTCATTTCCGTCGTTTCTCCTGCATACTGAAGCAATTTCTGTTGGATTGAGGACTGTTCGTTTCCGTTCGTGAGCTGTTCAGCCTTCCTGGGTACATTTAAACAGATGTAGTACTTCAGCCGAGAGTCGGTGACTGCTTGGTGGAGTTCCGAAGCTGATGGGTCAGATTCCGTAAAATGGTCGGGGAGTAATTTGTTGCTTTTAGCCAGCTGTGGTATAGTCATTGATCTTTAAATGTCTTTAATAGGATCCACAGACCGTTTTGACACGTGTGTGTTGTGCTGGTGACACTGAATGGGAGGGGATGGAGCTGCAGAATGTTTGGTTTGCAGGTGTTTTTGGCCTGCAGCTATTTCAGAAGTCCAGCTGACTTCCAGGGCTTGCCCCTCTTGGAGAGGAGAGCGTTGGCTGCCTGTGCATGGAGGCACAGGCACACATAACTTTGCCCTTTATTCCCGAGCCCGTTTGGTGTGCTAAAAGCCATTTGTTTTATAGGACAACACAGATAGGGTCAGGTTTTCCCAAGGTTTTCCCAGCCTTTACTCTGCTGTGCAGGTGTGAGCTCAGGCGGAGTTCTTGGTCTTCTGGATTAGCAGGAGGGCACAGGAGCTGATGCACACTTGGGAACTGCAGTAGCAACCTGCACCACTCGTCACATTTAAAGGAACCCTTTGAGCCTTACAGTCTGCATGGAGACCTTTCTGGGTACTGCTGCTCTGTGGTGATAGTGGTGCTTGTAGCTGAGCAGCAAATGGTTTTTACCCTGAAACAGCTATTCATGTAAAAAGTGCAAGATCTTCATCTTGGTTAATTTTAAACATTGTCCTTGACCTACACTGTGGGGTAAAGGTGCTTTAAAAAGGTAAAGCCCACAGAAGGCTCATGGTTTCTGTTTTATGTAGTTTCAAGGAACTTAACAGTGATATTAACTTGCCTAAGCAACTACCAAGTTGTACCATTCTTTGGAAAAGGGAAGTCTGTGGTTTGTGGTTTTCCTTGTCTAAGTGCACCTTTTTCTTTAATGCAGAGTTGCTGCAAGCAAACTGTTGGTAGCAGGAAGGACAGGTTTGGGATCTGCTCAGCTCTGTGACATATTTCGTGTGCCATCCTGTGCTGAACTAAGATTCTTGACTCTCTAATATGTCTGCACTGCCCTTGGGATTTTGGATAGCAATTATCTGTGTGCCAAATGTTCTTTGTGCACAAGCTTTCATTCTGTTTTCCTAGCTTGCTTGCATCTAAGTAACCAGCTCTCTCTGGGGCTCTCTGGCAGTTCTAGCAAAAACTATTATAGCTCCATTATAACTATTATAAGTGTTTTCTAAAAGGGCAATAGGCCAGTAGCATCACACCCCCTTCCTAAGTCTGACAGTAGTCTGGTGTTGGCTGTACAGTCTCTATGGGAATATTCATTCAAGAGTGTAATTCCTTCCTGGTAGTCTAGTTGTTCTCCATTGAATAAAGTTTGCCTTTCCTTTCTTTCAGTTCTGGGAAATCCAGTTAATTATACAAATGAGAGCAAACGTTATGTGCTGAGTCAGTGCTGTGGGGGAAGCAGTAGCGTGGCTTCCTGGCCTAGCATGGTTCTCTCTTGGAATTGTACTAGACCGGTGTTGCCTTCCTGAAATCTCTGACAGAGCTGTAACTGAGCTGTTTTACGTGAAAAGTCGTATTTTTTTCTTCTGCAGAATGTGAAGGAGCAGCTGTCACGTCTGGAGAAAAATATATATACATATACACAAGATATCGGAGTTTGATTTGGGAGCTCCCTCTCTGGGGTTATAGACTGCCTGCAATTTTCCATGTGGGAAGGCTTTCCTGTCAGTTCCTTAATTTAAGGTTGTTCTTTATGAAGGATGTACCAATCTCTGTTTTCTCTGATGTAAACTGGTTGCTGTTTGTCCCCTTATTGCTGCATGCAGGTGAAGAAGTCTGGAGATGTCTGGGATGTGGGGACAGCATTGCTGCTGGGCAGCGCCTCCACAAGACTGTCAATGAAGCTTGGCACATTTCCTGTTTCAGGTAGGTAAAGCTTCAGCCTCCTTTAAACCCTCCTTGGTTCCGCTGGTTGGGACCTGGTGGTGAAGTAGCAGCATGAGCTGGGAACTCCTGCAGTGATCTCTGTGCCTGTTCTGAGCTCTTGTTTGTGGCCATACCTCGGGGACAACATCCAGTCCCAGCAGCAGCTGCCACTGCCTGGCGGAGTGTGGCCACTGACGCAAACAAGATACAGATAAAGTGCAAATAAAAGCTCTGATTTACTGGTGGTGGCAGAAGCCATGGGTTACATATTTGTCTTCTGCAGCATTCCTAAGCAGTGCCCAGGCAATTTGCACAGCCTGTTGCTTTTTCCATGTGTGGTAGGTGCAAGGGTGTTATCAGGGTGCTGATAGAGAGGAGGGAAGAGAGAGATCTTGCCTTTTGCCTTCTCTCCTTTTCAGACTCTTAAGACAGACAAACCTATGAAATCTGCTAGATAATGTTGCTGTCAGCAAGGACAAAAAGGGATGTCTGCCATGCTTTTTCCTGGTCGTAGGAGTAATGCCTCTTTTTGGTGTTCCATGGATACTCAGTCCAGTTTTCATGCTCCAGAATCGCATTTCTGAAGGGGTCTGTATTTTTGAGGGGTTGAGTAGCTGCAGCTTCTACTGGCTTCTATGTTGGCTTGAATATAGGGAGGCTAATATTTTGGATACTGTTAAAGAAAATGGGGGAAAAGGAAGCCAAAGTGTGGTTCTGGAGGAATGTTTTCTGTGCCAAAATAAGCATCTATTGTCCTCGTTTAAAGAACAGAAAAAAACCCCAACAAAATACCCCAACTTTGTTGAAGTGAGGATTGTGGTTACTGGTATATTTAAAAAAAAATAAAGCATCTCATGCTGCCAAAGCAGTGCAGGCTCAGTTGACTTGGAAAATGCTGTTACAGTGACACGTTAATAATCACAATTACACTTTGATATCATGACAAATCCCAGTATTTTGGACTTCTGTTGGTTTTAGTGTTCATGTTTAGCTATAATGAAGCAGCTTTTCTTAATCCTGGCTTTCTCTTCTCCCTGAAGGACTAGTATCCTGTTGCTGAGCTTCCCTAGACTGTGCCAGCAGCCAAACCCCAAGCCATGTGTGCTGGGAAGTCTCGTCCCTCTTGCCATTGGATGTATTTCTCTTGTGGGTCTTGATTTGCAAATGTCTTGGTGCTTCTTCTTGTTGGGGCTGTTGAGGTGAGGAGCAGCTGAGCTGGAGGCAAATCCTGCCTTTGGGACAGCTGACAGAGAATTTGTTTTCATAGATGATATTGTATAATGGAAGTTTGGTTGTCGGTTCTGGGCTGGTTTGTTTTATACAGATGATGACACCAGCCTTTCTCTGAGCTGTGGAGTCACTTCTTACATTTGCTGATGCACTTCTTGTGCTGTGTGCTTTTGGTGAGCTCGAGCACTCTCCGAGGCTGCTGTGTTCATTGAACAGTTGGAACCTGCAGGAAAGGAAGTTGCCCTCCCCTTTTTCCTAGTTCCAGGGTAGGACTGTACATGAAAACAAGTTTCCAGTTCGCACTGTGTTCCTCCTTTTCTTCTGCTGTCCCTAAACCATGCTGAGCAGCAGTCTTGTGCCTGATATCCCAAAGCCAAACTTTAAAATGCCTCTAAGGGTAGGAGGCTTTGGCAGCTGGTAGCTGTGAGTTCCGGCAGCTCTTGTGGAGTGTTTTTTACAGTCTTCCTGTGGATTAGCTGACTCCCTGGCCTGGCACATAATTTCTCTAATGCTGATTGGCGCTGCTCCAGGCTCGTTAGCTCTGTTTATTCTTGGTCAGGCTTGGCGCTGGCAGGAGCTGACGTACATGAGCGTCTCTGAGGATTTAGGTTTTTGTCACTTCCCTCCTTCCTCAAACTGCATGTACAGGAGCTTTTGTCTCTAAAACCTGCATTTTCTCTGCTGTGGCTTGAGGGAAGAGCAAATCCCTGTTTGTAGATCTTGGATATTTTAGACTGTTCTTTGGCCAGCCGGTTCCTTAGGCTTGAATCTGATGGGTTGGATCTGGCTGAGGAAGTTTCTTAGATGTTTCTGTCACAGTGTCTGTTGTGAATTAACTCTGAATGTGCTTTTGTGCCTCTGAATTCTGTTGAGACAGCACACACTTTCAAAGGTCACTGCTTTTCACAGTTTGACTGGATTTGGAAATTACATTGCACAGAACTTCAAACATTATACCAAGAAAGGGAAAGACAGAAGTGAAAAGGTGCCTTTTTCCTAGGTCTGGATCACTTTTACCTCAGGAGATTATTTGAAGAGCTTTTGGGGTTTTTTTGACCAAGAGCTTGCTGGTTTTATTGTTTTCAGCCCAACTTTATCCCATATTGCAAAATAGAAGGTAATGCCTTGAATTATACTTTTAAATAAAGTATTATTACCAGTGTTTATTTTTTGTGTTTTGTGTTTTGTTTTTCTGCAGTTAATGACAAATGAAATTAAAGACAATCCCCACTTTCTGTAGGGATATTGTGTATTTGAATTGGAGTAGGATGGAATGGGAAGACCCAGACACAGCTGTATGGCTTGATCGTAAGGACATGATATTTGTAAAAATCCAGTTTTGATTATTTGAAAACCACAAATTCAGATCAAGCTTGTAGACTACATCCAGATGGAAATGGATACATAAGAAGAAAATAATTGGAAATGGTGGCAGGAATTCCTACTGTAGCAGGGTGCTTAAGCACTTTTTAGGAAGGAAGACAGCTGAGGCTCAGTTCCTTCCTAACCATGAAATAACAGAGCATGTCTAGTACTGTGGTCTATAAAATAAACCTAATTTAAGTAGCCAAGCAACACTAGCTTGCTGCAGAAATCTCAACAAAAAGCCAAAGCCAGAAAAATTGTTCACAGATCTTCAAAAGTAGCAGAAGGTGATGGATTGCTGGTGATTTCACAGTCACAGATTTAAATTATACCGTTTAGTTTATACCCAAACCAGTTAATTAAAGGCTGAAAAATCACGAGGATTTTGAAGAGCACTGGATTAGAGAGCACATGGATTAGCTATCCATGGATCAAGGGGGTGTCCTAAGGTCCAGCCTACTGAATAGAAAGACAAACACTAATTTCCCAGCTCTAGTGATTTGATTGTCTTACAAAGATGTGATTTTTCTATACTGAATGCCATATTTTGTGTGCTGCTGAAATATTTTTTTTCTCAGCAAAATTTAGTAAATCACTTCAATTCTTTTTACATTTGGGGGCAGGGAAAAAGCAAGCCAGGCAAATTTGTATGAAGACTATATATAATTAAACCTGGTCTGGGGGTGCAGGATAAACTAGATGATTTCTGAGGGCATTTTTATAAATCTGGTTTATGTTTTTAGTATATCTATTATCAACTTATATTTAAAGCAAGTAATTTTTGTGGCTTAGGGATGATCAAGAAATTGGTCATCTAACAATCTCCAGTGACTGTAGGATTTTGGTCTCCCAGACTGACTGCTAGCACTTCATTATCCTCAGGGTTAGAACCTTCTGTCTGCTATCTTCAGAAATCCTGTGCTGCAATTTAAATCCATTTCTTCTAGCCATTTTCATGAAAAACAGGAAAACAAGCCTTTTCCCTGCTTCTGTTATCCACGTAGCCGTCCCCTGTCAGAAAGCAGATTGTGTCTCCCATCAGTCCCTCGTACAAGGCACAAGCCTGGATTTAGTGGATTTAGCTTTTTCTCCAGACTATTTCCTTGACTTTAGATCACTTCTGTCAGTTCAATCTCTTTGGCACAGGCCTTTATTTTCCAAAAGCAGCTCCCTCCCCAAAGGACAAATGGTTGAACAGGATTTGAAGCACAAATAAAGCTGTAAGCAGAGGTGTGTATTAGGAGGGATTTAAATTGTGGGATGTTTGGTACCTTGAATTTTCCTTTAGCTTTTTCACCTGTGAGCACAAGGCAGGTTTATACACACAGCAGCTGAGTTTGAGAGCAGGGGAAAGAGCAGTAGTAATGAAAGGCAGCTGAATTAAGGTAGAAGCAGGAAGATAAAAATCTCCCCTTTCTTCTCCAGTTTCTCAAAGTTACAGAAAGTTAATGATAGGGGCCTCAGAGGTGAGAACTCTTCCCTAATCCTGCAGACTCCTGGGAATGTTCCTTTGGTGGTATCTTCAGCATTGAAATTCAGGAGCTCACTATCAGATTCAGGGAGAAATAGTTGCCTATTGGCATACAGATCACTATGACCCTTGAAGAGTTTACACATTCAAAGGAACAATGAAGCACTTTGCAGGTGGCCGAATTCCTCAGGGGAATCTATCGGATACAGGGCATCAATGACCAGCCCTTATATTTAAGGAGGAATGGGGCATTCCAATCCAAACTTGCTTTTGGTTGAATTGGCAGCTTGTCCTTTAGGGCACTGTTATCGAGCATTATTATTTCAAGGTAATTAGAATTACTCACACAGCCCAGAATTCGATAGGCTCTCACAGGAGTGAGGCAGGATCCTTTCCTGAGGAGCTCCTGCTCTTCACAGAGCAAAGCAGCAAGGAGGAGTTAAGGAGGAGTGAGGATGCAGTGGTGAAAGTGCCAGTCTTATTGTTGTATCTGCTGCGTTTACAGAGAAGCCACCACTTCCCAAACCCTGTATAACCCATGAAGTTTCAGTGGGTTTGAATTTCCTTGGTTCGCTTCTCAGCCCGCACGCATTCAGGAGGGCTGCAGCCATCAGGCAAGAGTGGTGGGAATAAAAACTTGGTGGTGTGAGGTACTGAGAAGCATCATAATGTTGTTCATCCAAACGGTGCTGGTTTCAGGAGCTGGCTGTATTGGTTTCAGGAGCTGACTCTTGTCTTTCAACAGCAGCAAAGCACGTGTTACACATTAAGTGCCTTGGAAATACAATGAGGTGTTGGGATTGCACTGAGGTATTTGGAATGCCTCCAAGCTGCGCCCATGCTAAAGGAAAGGCTTGCTGCAAACTCTTCAGGCATCAAGCAGATTCCTCTTCCCTCAATCCCACACATATGGAAGTGTCAGTCTGTGCCAGGA